TTCTTCCCACTGAGTTGGCTCTTCAGGACCTGTCTTATCCTTGGTGGTACTTGGATGTTGCTGTCTTCCTTGCCTCTTCATCATGTGACTGTGGGATACCAAGGTACTTGTAGCTGGTCTGTATGTCTGCTATTTGCCTGCTGATTGTTCCACTCCATCAGTCTTAACTACTTTCCCTCTCTTTACTGCCATCCATCCGTCCACACTTCTCCAGTCCAAATGACATCCCAATGTCCTCACTGTAGATCTGCATCAGGTGGATCAGCGAGTCAATGTCTCATTCACTCTTAGCATACAGCTTGATGTCATCCATGTAGAGGAGGTAGCTGATTTTAGTTCCACTCTTGAACTTGTATCCACTGGATATGGATACAAGTTATATTGTACTATAATATATGTATGTATGTATGTATGTATGTATGTATGTATTATAGTACAATATATTATTGCACAGAAGCAGTGTATTGATTTTTGAAAAAGTGGAAAATTGCATCAACAGAAAAATTAACTCAGAATTAAAAGCCAGTTTGGTATAGTGGTTAAGGCATCAGGCTAGAAACCAGAAGACTATGAGTTCTAGTCCCACCTTAGGCACGAAGCCAGCTGGGGGACCTTGGGCCAGTCCCTCTCTCTCAGCCCTAGGAAGCAGGCAATGGCAAACCACTTCCAAAATCTTGTCAAGAAAACTGCAGGGACGTGTCCAGGCAGTTGCTAGAGTCAACACTGACTCAAAAGCATACACGTACACCGAAAAAAAAAGTTTGAAAAATCTTATAATGAAAAATAGGGTTAGTCAAATTTGGACAGCCTATATAAGTGTACTGTATTAATAAGGTTTTACCTGATAGATTGCCCCAGCAGCACAAATACTGTTGAGGAGGAATATATTAAATGTTTATAATTAACCTTCTGTATACTCCACAATGATGTATGCATTAATAATTTTGTACTCCCAAAGTACAAGGAATATATTTTTTCTTTTATAGTTTTTCCTTTGTTTTTGTTTATGGCTTATTTTGGGGGCCTTTGAGGGTTATGGTTAAATACCCTGCTTCAATCTGGAAAACTTTCCAATGTTCCGATCGCAGTGGAATGTTCTGATTTTGTCTGACCTCACTGAAATGTTTCAGCCCCAAACCTTCCATAGAGGTTCTGCTTGGAAACTGCTTCCAAGGGGGAGCTCCAGATATCAATTGGCCACCTATCACATGGTGGAATTGCTCCTGGGTGAGAATTACTTCTGCTTATAGATGAACAACTGTATGATTGATAGTCCTGTTTAGCCAACATGTTAGTATATACTGAACATGGAAGTAGCAACATGGAGTGCTTCCTTTCTGTAAATTCATGCTACAGTATATGAAGAGCCCATTATCCATGGAAGCCTCTGTAGATAAGTAAAGGCTTCCTGCTGTAAACAGTCACACTGTGTATATGAAGACCAGTTGTGAGAGACTGTGGGGAAGATGGCAAAGGAATGGAAGAGGCCTAAACAATCAAGAGCTAGTGAGTTAGTGAGTTGACAGCTTCTCTTATGGCAGCTTAGCCCAGTGAAGACTGATATCAAACCCATGTAGCTGAACAACATCTACATACATATATCTACAAGAACTACATAGATTTTATTCATGTACTTTCCATGCAAATGTGAGCTAATGCAGAACTTTAGAAGCTGTTAGAAGAATTTCTCACCTTCATTTGCAATGAGTTAATTAAAGTGGAGTCTCTTTAAATCTCTTTGAGGTATTTCTTCCCAGGTTTCTTTCTACCTGGGCTAAGTTGCTCTTTATGAGATAAGTTGACTCACACTTTATCTTTTGATGATTTATATTGACTCTCTTGCACTTCTTGCCCAAGCTCACCATAATCTCTCACACCAGTGCTATTAAAAATGACTTAACGAAGGAATGATCTGCTCACCTCTCCTCCTATCTTCTGAGGTAGGTACATTGCCTGCACAGAGCTTGTATTGCTACTTGATGTGTAAGTTTCCTGTGTGTAGATTTTTTTAAAAGGAGGAATATCTGCCATTCAAATACACACCCAAGAGAAAGATTTTCAATTTGACAAAAATGATTTGTTTTAGAAAACCTCCTTAAGCATTTTTTACTATAATTGACACAACATGAAGATTAATGTCTAGTGTTCTTTATTATTTTGATGGAAGGGAGAACAAAGCAATAATTTTCTTTTCCATAACCAGGATAAGAAAGTTTAAATGTAACCAATCTCATATATTCTTTTAATGCAGTTTAAAAAAAAAACCTGAATGGTGCTCCCTTATTGAAAGAAATAAATTCACAAATGAAATAATGACATAATAATGTGGTTCCTGTAAAATAACATAGTGTCAAGGAAAAACATTAGTGGAGTTTGTAATTTTTGCTAATGATGCCTGCAGCCACTTACAAAAAGAAGAAAGGTAATTTGGAACACGTACATTTTTAGCTGTAGTGTATGTTTAAGAATCTCCATGGTTTTTTGTTTTTGTTTGTTTTTGGTGCCTTCAAGTGAGTTTTTGACTCCTGGCAATTGCCTGGAGTAATCCCTGCAATTTTCTTGGCAAGGTTTTGTGGAAGTGGTTTGCCATTGCCTCCTTCCTAGGGCAGAGAGAGAGGGACTGGCCCAAGGTCACCCAGCTGCCTTTGTGCCTAGGGTGGGACTAGAACTCACAGTCTCCTGGTTTCTAGCCTGATACCTTAACCATGACACCAAACTGGCTCTCATCTCCATGGGTGCTGAGGGAAATATTATTGATGAATAATTTTAAGAGCAATTCCTGTAATTTCAAAAAGGATGTGCTTACATTTACGTATGCATATTTTTCTTAAACCCTTTTTTGCCTCTTTAGACATTTATATTTATTCTGGTATCTTCACTTTTACAATTTTTCTGTGCTTCTTACATCTATCCTAGTACAAGTTTATGTATCTTAGAAGACTCATCTCCATGGCCTGAAAACCTCAGTGCCAGATTTGGGCTGTTCTGATGAGATGCACATTCTGGGATCTTATATTAGCTACTGGTTCAGAGTGCCATGAGTTGTTGCAAGCTTGCCCATTCTAAGATTACCCCGAGCTACAAAATCTCAAATATCTCAATCTAATTATGAAGCCATAGAGTACCTTCAGACGTAATATGAAAATTATAAGAACAAACACAAGAATGCTAGATAGCCACTTCCAATGCTTCTGCAGAATGCTCAAAGAAAGAATTGGTGTTAGTGACACAGTAAATGAGAAATGCCAAAATTAAGCATGGAAAGGAGACAGGCAGATAACACACCTAACATCATCACCACCATTGAGCAGAGTTTATTCTAGAGCTTCCCAGTACATGTTGTCAAGCATTTGTAGCAAGATTTCAGTAGCTTCCTAAGCTAAACCAATAGAAAAGCATCTTTGAAGTGATAACAGGGATTCTTCCTCAATATTTTTGTTTCATATCATACTTTTAACATCTATGTATATTCTTCAACTTTTCAAAGTATCGTATTTTAATATTTACCTTAGTATATTGCTCATGTTCAAGTTCTTGACTAGAACCACACCCTGTTGTCTGATTATAGCGGTGCATTTTCATTTTCATCTGTCTTGTTCGCTCCTCCACTACTAAATTTGCTGTAAAAACACATAATGGAAACCTATTAAAAAGTGGTTGAAAACTCTGAATAAAATAAGTGGTTTGATGCAAATTTGACTTTATTTCAAACTGAATAAATATTCAAACAATATCTGCATCAGGAAGTGAAAGCAAAACATAGGCATGCAAATGCTGATTTAATCAACAAGGATTGCTTGGAAAGTTTATCTACACATTTCCAAATTCCCAACATATCCATAACATGGTTTTATATAGAATATTTATAAAACTGGAAAAGGTTATTTTTTTCCCTTTAACTCTACAAGGATAATATTCCATCATGTTAAAATACTTATTATACCTTTAAAATATTTTCAATATTTTCTTAAAAGAAAACAAAACAATCTATTGTATGACATTTGCAAATGTGGTAGATATGGGTTCCAAACAATTTTGCATCACTTTCTTTAAAACTGATTTAAGGCCACAAAACACCAGCCTATTTTTATGCAAAGCTTTTCTCTAAATTGAATGGAGGTTACACCTCTCACATATATTTTGATGCAGTTTATGCAGGAAAACAACTTGGTTGGATTGTGTCTACTTTGACCTTGGGATATATATTCCTGAAAAATACATCATCCTTCCATAGAACAATAACAATACATTCAGTTTCTTATGCATTCAGTATTTAATGCCGTCAGTGTATATCATAATATGCTGATATGCATGTGATAAATGCTCCCTCCCACCTGGGTGTGCAAAGCCTAATTCAGAATGACAGTGAAAACAACAAAAGAAAGGAAATAGGAGAGGGGAAGGCTGCAAAGGATCGATGTAGGCAAATGCATAATTAAAACTTAGTTGTAGCTGAGCAAGAGGATTATGTGGCTAAATTAAACCTTTGTGGAATAACAGATTCATACGACAGATAAAGAAATACAGATTGCACCAAATACATGTGCAATACTATATAAAATAAAGACATAGGATGCAGGCAGTGAAGGAGAATGAGTCAGAAGATTTGGGGCATATTACTTTTTCTGAAAGCATAGATGAGCTCTGGCTTAGCACTGCAAGAAAAAGACTGAGAGAGAAGGTAATCTAAGAAGGCACCAGGGCACTCTGGATTCTCGGAAGTATATTACTGATGCTTTTTAACAGACTTAATCAAACATATAGCTTATATGTTAATAAAACAAAAGCAAAAGATAGATATTAATAACAAACATGAATATTTGCCATATACTTTCCTTTCCACACATTCTGTCACACAGCCTAACCCACTCCTGTATTTATTTACTTGGCTAAGTCTCGCTGTAGTTGCAAAGGCCTACTTCTAACTAGGCTGGCATAGGATCCCAGTTTTAACATTCTCATTCCCATCTAGATCATCCAGGTTAATCATTGAGGCCTCTGATTAGCTCTTTGATGAAGATGTGGTAGTGGAGATAAATGAAGAGCCAAACAGGTGATCAATACATGTTAAACTTCTTCAGTGATGATAAGATCCCTCTTCACAGCATAATCATTTAGATCTGTAAGGGGAGCCACATAGGCAAAACCTATTTATACCTGTTTCTGCAACTTGATGTTTATATAGCTCAAAATCCCCCTGTAAAATACTATATGAGTAATTCACATAGCTATGCACAATATGTTAGGGAGTAACCTAAGGAGTTAGAATTCCTGCCCTTCTACAGGTATCACACAAGCCACAGTACTGCTTTATTAAAAACATCTGGGAAGGGGATATTCATATACCCTAGCATAGAGAGGAGATTCAAAACAATGGTTACACACAGAAATCTGAAGCTTGGGCCATGCATATTCAAGGCACTCTGGTTATTACAGAAAGTTCTAAATGTAAAATGATTACGGAGTATCTTGGCTAATAATAAAGCTTAAAGTTAGTACATAAATAGTCACTTGGTGTTTTTGTTCAACATTCACATTGCCTCATTCACAGAATTTCACAGAGTCTAGGTGACAGCATTTTCCATGGGTAACCCTCCCATTTTTCCATGAGTCTTCCATCTTTTTTCTTAGATTGAAAGCTGCCCCATACCTTTGGTAATGCTAGAAGCTATCAGTGTAGAAATATAACAGCTAAAACATGAAGCAAAATATTTATTTCACAGCAGAATTCCAGTACAAAATAAGCTAACCTCTCTTGTAGGATGTTAGGTTAGCAGGAAGCTGTCTGCCTCCCCAGACTTTGATGGGGTAAGGTACACTTGGGTGTGAGCATTATATTTAGATTATTATTTACTGTCTAATGGATTGTCTTCAGCTGGTAGGATACTGGATTCTTAGACTATGTCCCAACTTAGAAATATGATAAGTGAACTATCTGATATAGTCTAATTTTTGTAAAATTCAAACAATTAAATGTTTATCCATGTTATTCCACAAAATTAAAGTCTGAAAATATACCGCAAAATAGATTAGTCATCTCAAAACCATATTTGACCCAGAGATAAGTCAAGATACCTTTATTAGAAAAGTCTGAAGGGGAATATTAATGCATATCTGCTTCAAAATAGGAGACAACTAGCATTCAAAAAAAGCCAGGTTTTCTGAGCCTCCCAGGAAAACAGCATATCTCTAGTCTGAACTGAACAGTTTTATCACTTATCCTTGAAAAACAGATAAAGTTTACATGCAAATACCCTCAGATGATAGTTGGGACATATCACGATAGGACATAATATTGAAGAGTGATATTTGTACATTAAAATACTGACAGTATGATTACATTTTTCAAACTTTCCATGACCTTTACTGACAGAAATTTTAGTACCCAAACTTGTGTCATGTTATTTGCCTTAAACATAAGGACAAGTATTACTTCATAGAGCAGACCCAGCATTGCACGGATAAGAATTTTATACTATGAGAATTCCTGTTGACTCTTCCAGATCAACAGGTATCAGACTATGATTAGGGGTAACAGAACTTCTAGTAGCATCTACTTCATTTCTAGTACTTTCATAATCTTAGCTATACTATTTTAGATACAAAATGCAGACAGTCAATTATCATGGCTGATTGACTCTATTTGCATATGAAAATGCATACATGTACTGTAAGGTCTGATTTTCATGTGTTTGATTGGCATTTTAGCAGAAAGGATGCCGTATTAAATCAACATTAATGTGCAGTCCAGTTGATTATAATAGAGTTAAGAAATAAGTGAAGAAACTAAAGTTTGGCAGGCATACACTTGGAAGATATATGACAGAAAAATTTGGTTGCAAAGGTTTGTAACTCGAAAAAGTTAAAATCAGAGGAAATTGGACCCTTGGAGATGCTAAGGGAAACGGAGATGGTAATGAAGAATGAGATAAAGAAGCTGCAATTACACAGATTGGTGCCAGTAAGGAAATCAGAAATAAGGACCTGTGGCAATGGAGGGTTGATCCCAAGGAGCAGAGAAGCAGGAAATTAAGAAAGATATTAAAAGCTGTGGAACTATGGATGAACACACAGACACGCATGAGAGGAGAAAGGAAAGGAGCAGTAGCTACCCTGGAGCCATGGTTAGAAAAAAGAAGACAAGGAAATGCCTAAAAAGGGCAGTTTAAGGAGATACAAGGTATAAGAAGCAAAACTTTAAATCAAGACAGAACTACTCATGAGTAAGCAAAAGATGAGAGGGAGAAGACACAAGGCTTTTCCCCCACAGCATTTAGCCCAGATGAGATTCCATTCCCTTCAGCTAACAAGGGGCAGTTTGAGGGGGAAATGCAAAGTATTCAGTAGTATCAGTTGGCAAGCTAGCCTGATGCTGAGAGAGAGTTCCACCAGGCAGAAAACTCCCCCTGGACTCACTGGGATGGATCCAGGCTTGAAGACTCAAGAGGAGAATCAGACAGGCCAAGATGGAGGTCCAAACTAGGAGGAGAGATAAAGCAGCCAATCATAGCAGAGTGAGGAAAACTCCTACATGAGCCTTTTGCAGGCTTCCAGGTGAGAATCTATGGCAGACTAGATATCCCTGAAGGAGCAGGGACAGAATTGCAGTGGAGATCGGCAGCCAGATGGTGAATTGTGGCCAGCGCAGTCTTCCTGGACTAGGAGAGATTGTGAGATTGCTCACATGCATTCCAGACAGCTGCTCCTCATGAGGAGATTGCAGGAACCGAGGTTTTTGTGGTCATCTAGTGAGTTGAGCAGCTGGGAGTCAATTTCAATCAAATTCACAGCCACAATGCAGCCCATATGGACACAAGGTTTGCAAAAGCCTCACTTTCTTAAACACTTTTGGATGTAATCAATTTAAAGAGAGATTTTCTGAGCGACAGGATAAGAGAAATCCACTTGGTAAGTCAAGATTCTTTTTGGATTGAAAAGGAAAAGAAAGAGTTTCAAAGATTTAAAAACTTTTGGCAAAAAGCTTAATAAGCATTGGATGTATGAGAGTTTAAAATGGATGAAGGGGATAGTTTTCAAATATTATTTTTTTGGTAAAAGTGATTTTGAACAAATTGGAATTAAAACAGATAAATGGACTGGACCTTCATGGGAATGTTTTTTGTTTATTATTAAAGTTTGCTGACAATTGGTGGATTTTACAAAACAAAAGATAAAGGTAATATGTGCCAGACTATGATGCTGATTGTAACTACAGAGTGCCATTTGAGACAAAAGTATTAAGGGCATAGGAAAACAAAATGGGGGGGGGAGGAAGCTTGCCTTTTACTCTTTCCTTTGCAACTGAGACATGTTCACTTTCAGATTAAAATATTAAAGTGGCAAGCACCAGAAAAACAGCAAAAACAGCAAAGGGGAGGAGAGGATCACTACAGCAACCTACAGAGAGAGGAATTACACCAGATTTGCTTCAGAAAATATTTGAGGAATTGGGCAATAAGTTATCTGAATCATACTAAATTGACAGCTTTTGGAAAAAGAATGGATGAGGGACTTGTATAGATGAAAGAGGAGATGAAAGAAGTTACAAAGATGGAAATCTTGTAAAACAAGTGTCTGGAGATGTAAAACAAATTAACAACAAAGTGGAAATTATGGAGAG